AGAGGCAGTATGTATATGGTGCTGAGGCCCATCATCACCCAACAATGATAAGCTCAGCTCCCTATGGCATGTCACCTGCCCACACAACATACTATGGTAATGGCTATCAGGTTCAGTACCAGGTACCATATATCCACTGATGGAGAGAGCGCCGTGTCCTCTTTCTTAACTATGTAGCTTTTAACCTGCTACTATGTGTTGTAGTTGTATCAATCCACTAGCTAGACTGCCTAGCTGAAATTAGTTCGACCACTCCTGTGTGTGCTGAGTGGCCAGTGTGAAAATCTGTTAATTTCCCTGACGACTTATGACATAATTTACTCCTAATGTTTAGTTAAATAATTTGCTTTTGTTTAATATAAGGAGTTGAGATAGTCCCAGTACCGAAGATTTTGTGTGTTGCATGGTGGAAATGTCCATTACAATGCTTTCTGTTGCATTGGAAGCAAAATGGAGTTACCCTTTTTTCTCAGATGCAAGGTTTACAAATTCCACTGCAAAGCTTTGGATGGGAACATGTATCCTGTGGTTTTCTAACATGTGATTTGTTTTCAGTAAAATTGGTCTAAACTATTTTGTATTTGTTTTCTGCTTTCCAGTTGGTTTCCCCGTCTTTACCCTCATCCATTTTAAAAATTACAAATACAAAAAGTTTATATATGTTTAAATTTGTCGACATTATTTTGACATCCAGACCCTATGGTGATGCAACTAATGTTTGGTTCCAAATTTCCCATAGCATAAACGTTGTACTTTGTAGTCGTAAGATTCACTTTGATGTTAGATTGTGAGTTGTGACTAGTAGATGGCTGTGTTCTTTCGAGGGTGTTGGGAACCCTTCTCTCCTAGCACACAAAATGAAGCGGCGGATTAACACATAATTAATTAAATATTAGCTTAAAAAAATTGAAATAGATTAATATGATTTTTTTAAAATAAATTTTCTCTATTTAAAAAAATATATTATTTATTAGTTTGGAAAGGAAAGCGAGAGAGTAGAAGCTAGGAAAGTGTCCCAAAGAATACAGTCCAGATCAACATGGCCTTGAACTATCACCGAAGTTTGTGTTTCACTCTTAATTGGATAAAAATCACCATCAACTAAATATTTTTGTATATTAATATTTTGCCTAGTTGACATGGATACGAGCTTGCTATTAGCGACTATGTCCGAACTACACCATATCACCTATGCTCTCTATTTCATATTATAATAAGTAGTTTTAACTTTTTCTAGTCAAACTTTTTAGAAAATATAGCAACATTTCAAATTGTATTGTTAACTTAGTATTGAGTGGCACCCACAATGTTTGTTAAAAGAATTTTGGTTACGATTTGTGGGGGATTTCTTGTTTTTATGCAAGTATTGGTGAATCGTTGCTTAATATGAGTCACAATGTTGCTTAGCACCTGCGATCGCAGCATTCAGAGTGGTATTGAGCCATGCCGACACCAACATTATGTCTTCTGTAATGGTGAAATTCTTTGATCTCTTGTTGTTTGGTCTAGAGGACACCCCAATTTCTGTTGTGTTTTGCTGCTCTCTAGCTTGAGGACTTGGTTGTGGCCGTTTTTTTTAACAAATTGGTCGTTTTCAAAAACTTATTTCGAAACTAGTCCTATAAAAAACTTCAACAAAAAATAGACCGTGGTCTCAGCGCCATAGACCTTGGCGCTGACCTATAACATCTCAGCGCCAACGTTATTGCGCTAACATCTAATCCGAGGTGTTGCTGAGTCAGAGGTCCTGACGATTCAAATAGAAGCGCAAGCATCTTAGTGTAGCAAAACAGTTATAGCCTAGTGGTTGATGTCTCAAGCTGTGAGGGCATAGGGTTCTAGGTCCGAATCCTGGTATCCCACCTCAACATTTTTTTTTGTATTTTGGGTTTTTTCCTTTTCTCTTTTTTGTTCTCTCAACTACTCACTCTTATTCTTTACAAAATGACAGTTTCGTTTGTAAATTTGTTTTATTTTGAATTTGATTTGAAATTTCAGTTTAAGTTCTCAATTGCCATATAATATACCACTTTAATATTTTTTTCCAAATTCAAAAAAATTGCAATTTAAACATATCTTTTGAAGATAGTATCAGAGACAAACAGAAAAGAAAAAAAATAAAGAGTGAGAGAGAGAAGAAAAAGAAGAAGAAAAAGAAAAAAATGGTTTTTTTTTTCTCTCGACTATTCACTCTTATTCTTTACAAAATGACAGTTTCGTTTGTAAATTTAAAGAGTGTGAGAGAGAAGAAAAAGAAGAAAAAAAGAAGAAGAAACAGAAAAAAAAAAGGGAGAGATGGGGGGTCGAAAGAAGAAAAAACGGAGAAAAGAAGAAAAATGGATGAAATGGGGGATCGAACCCTGCTCCATAGGGTTAGAGTAGAATCCTACTACCACTATGCTATCGTTGAGTTGATGAAGATGAATGCCTCCGTAGAAATTTAAATCATCAAGACCTCAGCGCCAAATATGATGACTCAACAAATTCATGCCACCTCGGATTTGAGCTTAGCGCCAACAAAAGTTGGCGCTGAGACGTTATAGCTCAGCGCCAAGGTCCATGGCGCTGAGTTCACGGCCTATTTTTGGTTGAAGTTTTTTGCAGGGACTAGTTTCGAAATAAGTTTTTAAAAAAGACTAATTTGTTAAAAAAACGGTGGTTGTGGCGGCTCCATTTTGGGGAATTTTTTTTGACTTAGATTCTAATTTGCTACATCAATGTCTGAACCCAACAAACCAACGTAGGTGTCCATCAATTCATCTAGCAAGAAAAATCATAGCAGCATACAAGTGGTAAAACATGTTGAAGGATACAAATATATTACATTGTGAATCTATCAAATATTAATTAAGAGAGCCATCAATGCGAGCAGTGCTTTTGCATACGTAGCAGGTCGATGACCACATCCACCACCCTAGAATCCATTGCCACCTCTAGATTGGTGCACCCTTCCTCTCCACTACCACCATTCCGCCATGGCTCCACCCTCATTCCGCCATGGCTCTACCCTTTGAAGCCCTGCCACTACCACCATCGCTGAAAAAAAAGTAAAGGGAATATAGGGACTCACCTACGCTGGCTAGTAATGATGACAATGATGGACGAGGCGTTGCTCGGTCGATCCGGATGGGGCGGGAGCTCGGTAAGAAGAGAGCAACACCAAAGTTGTTGTTTCTCTTTCCAAGATAGCACACATGCTAAATTTAAAGATAGGGTTGGTGCATCTACTAGATTAGCTGCTGATGTTATTGCTGTTGATGAGGGACGAAATAGATAAGCAAGCAGCTAGGAATGCTCTAAGCCCGTAAGTGTCATGATTAGCTGGTAAAGAAGCTGATGTGTTATCCGTGAGTAGAATGATGGGTTTTTTGTCCGGAAATCATACGTTACAAACTGTTTTAGATCTTGGTCTAAAAACAAGCTCAATCAAATTTTTGACTAGGAAATGGTGCAAATCATATCAAAGGTTCAGATTGTTCCTCAGGATAATGAGGACAAACTCTATTGGATTCCTACTTCTTCAAGAGCATTACTTCAAAAAGCAATTATAAGCAGGTTTCTAATATTTCTCACTTCCAGTTCGTTTCCACTGCAAGGAGCGGATAAAATTTTGGATATTCTCGGCACGCTTTTCAAACTACTAAACAGTGTGTTTCGTGCAAAAACTTTCTGTATGAAAGTTGTTCTAAAATATCAGATTAATCTATTTTCAAGTTTGTAATAATTAAAACTCAATTAATCACACGTTATTACCACCTTGTTTTGTGTGAAGCACTTAATCTTTATCTTTATCTTGTCTCCTCTAACATCACCTCTTTACAGAGTAATCTCCTTTTGAAAACTTGGTCCACTAAATACATTCCTTCTAAAGTTAAAACTTTTATTTGGAGACTAATTAGACAAGCTCTTCCAACGGCTGCAAATCTTCACTCAAAAATTTTGGATATTCCTGATTTTTGCTCCCGTTGCAATGATGCTGAAAATGTTCATCTTTTCTTCCGCTGTGCTTTTGCAAGACTTACCTGGAAACTTTAAGAACTCTCTTTTCACAATCTCATTATTGACTCAATGCAAAATGTTTCTAATATTATAGCATATTTGCTTGCAACTAATAATTCTGAAAACAGCCTTCAAAAAGTTCCAATCCTTCTTTGGTTTATTTGGAAAGCTAGAAATGATCATTATTTCAAGAAAAAAGAATGGGAGCCTTTGCAAGTTTGTAATGTAGCAAGCGCTATGTCAAAGAATTATATTTCAGCCTTGTCTAATGAGAATGATAATGAAACTATTCCAATCATAGATGAATTCTGTTGCTTCTGTTAATTTGTTGCCAGTAACTGGATGTTTCCTTGACGCTTCTGGGAAGGATAATATAACAAGGTTTGGTCTTTTTTCTACATGACTCTATAAATCATCATATCATCTTTGTGTAGGCCAAATCAACTCTTTATGTGTCGCCAATTCAGGCGGAACTTGCAACTTTTAAGCTTGATACCTTCATCTGTGATTTCCTTCAAATTACAAATCCTCCCTATTTTTTCAAGACAATCAAGAACTGGTGCTCTTACTTCAAAACTCTAATAATATCAATCATAACCATCACTAGAGCCTTTTGCCTTTGCTTGCACAATTACATAACTTTTCAGGTGGAGCTTCTTTCAACGTCAAATGGATCCCCAGAGATATAAATAAAAGGGTATCAAATAGCTGACTACTAGTCTAAAAAAGCCAGAGAATCTAAATATGAGTTAGCAGCTCTAAATTACCAAAATATTAGTCATGCTTGTAATAATAATACTTGTCCTACAAAGCAACTTATGCAAGCTACTCCTTGGAAAGACAATTGTGTATCTCTTGTGCACATTTTCCTTCTAATGTTTAAATAAAAAATTACTAAGTTGTAAAAACACTGTTTTTAGAGCACATGGCAAACCGCTTTTCTGCAGACCGAGGAGTAAAAAGACTATCACTGACAGATGGGACCCACCAACCATTGTCTCTCACTCTCTCCCCTCGCACCGCAGCTTCTCCAATCCGTCACTTTCCCCATCCCTCCCGCGAAAAGCAGACAGACGCCCACAACCCACCACCACGTCTAGGGTTCCGCCGCTCCTCCGGCCGCCGCCGCCGCCGCCGCCGACCCCCCTCGATCTCCTCCCCGAGCCGCCATAGGTGGTGGCGGGGGCGGGGGAGCTAGCATCCGTCCGTCAACGCACATCGTCACTGCTGCTTCCTGGTGAGCATCCATCCGTTTCGCATATCCTCTTTCTCATCCCTCTCTACCCACCCACTTTTTCCCCTCGAATTCGCGTCAACCCTAGCTTCTCTTCTAGATCTGAAAGCTGCTGCTTTTCTTTCAATTTGCTATTCTTAATACGAATAACAGTTTCGTTTGTTCCCCAAAAAAAGTTTGGGATGAATCCCCATGTCCCACGTTAGATCCGCCCCTGGTTTTATGTGCGGTATTGTTGTTTGTGGTATGGGTACCAACAGCTTTCGTTGTTTTCACCTTTTGCAGAAATCTGCCACCATGTCCGACATGGAGTCCATGGCTACACTTATGGAGTCCACAGGCTCCAAGCTGCAGCAGCTTCAGCGTGCATTTGCAGAGCTCGAGAGCCAGAGCGCTGTTTCCTTGAACTTAAAGTGGAAGCAACTGGAGGACCATTTCCATGGGCTTGAGCAGTCGCTCAAGAAAAAGTTTGATGATCTGAAAAGGCAGGAAGAGGAGTTCGAGGAGACGGTTGCAAAGTCAGAGCAGATGCTGGAGCAACAAGAGGCTGTTGTCGTGGCAAAGGAACTGACTTCTCTTGAAAAACTGCAGCAGAAAAGGGATGCCGCGTTGGCTGTGATCTTTGGCAAGTCCAAGCTGAACTTGTCTACGCCTCTTATCAACCCAATCAGCAAATCCGTGAATAACAATGCTGTGTTTAATGGAAACATCGGTGGTAGTCTTTCTGTTAAGTGGCCCAAACCTGCAACTGCGCATGGTGCATACCTGCAAGATGAAAACACTGCTGTGAAGCCTCGTTCTCAACTTGTTGTCCTCTGTGAAGAGATGAATGTTAACGGGCTTCATAAGTTCATATCAGACAATCGCAAAGACTTAACATCCATCCGTGAGGAAATCCCCGTTGCACTTAGGGGAGCAACTGATCCATATGGCTTGGTGTTAGCTTCTCTAGAAGACTTCTATTTTGGAGACAATCTTATATTGGATGGCAAAAAGGATGGAAACCTTCTGGGTGTACGGAGGACGTGCCTCATGTTGATGGAATCACTTGCTCAGCTGCAAACTGATGCTACTACTGGTTTCATATCGGAAGGTCAAGTGCTTACTGCAAGTATCAAGGAGCGTGCAAAAAAGATTGCTCTTGAGTGGAAATCCAAGTTGGATAGCCTTGACTTTGATGCTAGCAATGGGAACTGCCTGGAAGCACATGCGTTTCTTCAACTCCTGGCTACCTTTGGTATATTTGCTGAATTTGCACAAGATGAGCTGTGTAAGCTACTTCCCTCAGTCAGTCGTCGTCGTCAGACACCTGAGCTTTGTAGAATACTTGGATTGTCCCAGAACATGCCAGGTCAGTGCTATCATCGATTAATAATGCAGCTTGTTCCATTGAGCATCAATAATAAATGGAATTTTCTATTTCTCTTTGTCACTCAGATGTTTAGAGAACACATTCTGACCACTTCAATAATTGTTCATATATCTATATATCTATACCATGGGATTTATTTTCTAGTTAGTGGCTGCAGCAAGAGATGCCTACAAGTAATCAGAATTGTAGCATTGCTGTTTAGATAATTTGTATGGAAAATCTGCAGGCTGCTACTTATAATTTGGCAGCCGCACACCGAACCTCACTATCTAGTATCTGTATTGTACTTAGTGGCAGCAAAGTTTCCACAGCTTCTAAGCTATGTTATATGCTCAGTTGAGGTCTTAATTTAACTGAATGTATTTACTAACTTATAAATAACATATATGATCATATATTCTGGAGCATAACAAGCTAAGAGGACGTCATTCAATTCGCCGACCTTGCCCTTGAGCTTGATTACATACTGGGATGTGCTTTTGTGCATCTATTTTAGAAAAAGAATAATACGAATATCTAAGAAATATGGTTAATATTATTAGGAGGCAAATATGCATTAAACAAAAAAAGATAACCATTGAAAGATTTGCCACCCGCATGGTTTTGAAACAGTATTAACCTAGACGCTAGTCAGTGGTCGGTCAATGACTAGCGGCTGTTGACTAGTTAGTAACTAGTCGGTGGTTCCAATATGTCCAAAAATAAAATATTGCTCAAAAGTAGCTAGCCATTTAACATGTTTTATAGCATATTTTCAGATCAAGTACTGACTATTGATTATTGAGAAATATAAGACTGACAATTTGATAAGCTGCATGAGGTGAAGGCGAGAGAGCACGTGGCGGCTCTTGACTGCTCCAGACGTGTCATGGGAGGGAATAACCATAGGACCTTTCCCACCCCTCTTATCCCACCCGTTTAGCCCAAATTTTCAGTCCATGCCACTTTTCTGTTTCCTAGTTGACCTGTTTAACCGACTAGTCACTTGACTAATATTGATCAACTTGAACGTACTAGACCGATTTTAACCAACTAATTCACCTTTTACCCCCTGACCTAGGTGGATTGTTGCTGACTAGTGACTAGTCACCGAGGTCCCTTTGCTCCATACTTTTAATTTTGCCTTTCTTCTTTTCCGCCTTTCTGCTGCTGCATGTTCTTTTCGTTTTTACAGGTCAGCACATTTTCTCATGAGATATTTTCTTGATGTTAGGTGTCATTGGAGTTCTGGTTGAAAATGGGAGAACTATTGATGCAATTAATTTGGCTTATGCATTTGAGCTGACTAATCAGTTTGAACCGGTGGAATTACTGAAAGCCTATCTACAGGAGGTCAAGAGTGTGCCACATTTCAAGACTGGAAAGATATCTCTGCAAGTACAGGTGCACTTTTTTCATTTCAATTTTAAACTGTATGATACCCTGTAAATTTTCTTTCACAGAACCAGGGTTCAAGATTGAAGTGGGAAACATAGTAATCCTGGTCTGCTCTGATTTTCTTTTTTTTTAAAAAGGCATGGTTTAATTTAGTTCCATTTTTTCCCTCGAACATGCAGGAGGGAATTTAGTTGCGAAAATTATCACTAAGAATTTCAAAACCAAACACTAAATCATTGCAAGACTTCCCTTAAAAAAAATCAATATACACCTGTAAAGGCTGAGTGAAAATGGAGTCGAAATGAACAGGATTGCTTGTAGATTGTAGCAATTCTGTTCGATGGATCGGTTGCCAGTTGGTGACACATGCATTCATTCTCTAATTGAATACGATAAAAGTTCTTTTTTCGTGAAAATTACGACAATATTGTGCTGGAGTATTTGGACTGAAAGCAACTTGTTCTCTAGTATTCTTTCATGTGGCACCATGACATCCTGTCACTACAATCCACAAACGGCTCCTCATGCTTCATACCTAGTATAGAGATTGTTCCAGAATTTCCTTGGATTGACTAGTTTGGATGGGATTTTTCTTAGATCCATGAAAGTGAATCCCGTGTAGAACTACTAGTTACACCAACTCTGTTAAGAAGCTCTGAACCACATGAAAGTTTATTTTTTTCAGCTCGTGGCCCTTTGCCACCATAAACAAAGTTCCAGTTCTTTTTTCTAACAACAGGATAGCTTAACAGTCTTTTAGGAGATTATTTAGTACTTGCTCTGTTTTTAACTCTAAGCTAGTTTCACCTGTGCAACTGTTTGAACTTTCTAATTATGTTGTGTGATCCAGCACTCCAGCTGATCGTGTTTGAAAATTTCCTGATATAAATGGTAATGAGACATTTGGCCCTTTCAGCAATTGAATTCAGCTACTTTGATTCATTAGGTTCTATGGCTGTCAAGTCGTATACTGTAATTGTTCACTCACTTATTTGATTTATTTATCCTGGAATAGTTAAAGTACGGGGTTTGATCATATCATAAAGTTAGCAAATCATTTAGCCACCAATCAGCTTCAATGTAGAAGCTGCAGTGCTGTTCTGAAGAACTTGAATAATAAAGAGCTACTTTAGCTTGCAAGATACTATTCAGCTATAGTTGCTTGCTACCTTTTCTTTCTTGTGTGGGGTAACAAATATTTTCTCTTCTTGCTGGTCTGTACATTTTTTAAGCATATCTGCGTGCATTCCTAATTAATTGTGATTGTAGTATATCTGATGAATTACCATATTATTCAGAATGAAATGAATGAACGAGAGCTGTCTGCCTTGAAAGCTGCTATTAAGTGTATCGAGGAGCACAAACTTGATGAGAAATATCCGATTGACCTGCTTCAGAAAAGAGTTATCCAGCTAGAGAAAGCTAAGGCAGACAAGAGGAGGGCTGTTGAAGCTGCAAAGCCACAGTCTAAGAGGCCTCGTGCCAATGGATCCGTATATGCGCCACATACTAGCTTTCCTGACAAAAGCTTCTACCAGGCTGCTCCGCCGCAGAGGCATTCCTACCCTTACGAGAGGCAGTATGTGTATGGTGCTGAGGCCCATCACCATCCCACAATGATAAGCTCAGCTCCCTATGGCATCTCACCTGCCCACACAACATATTATGGTAATGGCTATCAGGTTCAGTACCAGGTACCATATATCCACTGATGGAGAGAGCGTAATGTGCTCTTTCCTAACTATGTACTAGCTTTTAACCTGCTGCTACTATGTGCTGTAGTTGTATCAATCCACTAGCTAGACTGCCTAGCTTAAATTAGTTCGACCACTCTTGTGTGTGCTGAGTGGCCAGTGTGAAAATCTGTTAATTTCCCTCACGACTTATGACATAATTTACTTCTAATGTCTAGTTAAAATAATTTGCTTTTGTTTAATATATAGCCTATGGCATATATATGTTGGAGTTGAGATAGTCCCAGTACTGCAGAATTCTGGAATTATGTGCTCTGCTTGGTGGAATTATCCACTAATTCCTTTCTGTTGCACTTGAAACAAAATTGTTGTCCCAAATCTTTTTATTTGATGATGGTAGATTTTTGTATTTTACGAGTTCAACTGCAAAGCTTTGGATCTACTATTTCAATGAGTGTGCCTGGAGTCCAATCGACTCAATTAAGTAACTGTTAGTTCATATTGAGGTTACTAATCAAATACAGAAAATTAATCATGGTAGAATATCAGATGACCCCTGGATAGTATAGTACTATCTCACCAATCATGTCATTTAATTCCTTTATTTTTTTGTTCTGTACAACGCCGCCAAACATTGGCGTTGAGTTCTTATTTGGGGTGGCACGAATTTGCTTATTTGCTTTGTCATTGGAGCTCAGTATCATTTAGATTGGTGCTGATCTTCGTTCTTTCTAAAACCAGGGTTTACTTACATTAAGCAAAGTATAGCTTAGCGTTAGATGGTTTTGGCTCCCAACTATAGATTTGAACCCCACCCTCATTTCTACAATTAGTTTTTTTTTCCCAGAAATAAGGTTCTTGAAAGGGCCATAATGCCAAAATTTTAGCCTATATAAGCCTGATAGATTAGGCTCCAATGGATGATACATGGTAGTACTACCTTCGTCCAGTATCATATAGATACTGCTAGCATTTAAATTTTGTCATATAATATAATAACTACTTCCACGTCTACTTTTTCATCTTAACCAATCGCAAATTCGCAACTCTCTAATTTAAAATCACCCTCATTCCTTAATTTCTTGAAAAAGAAGTGCAGAAGCATGTCCAATATTACTTCACATTCTAAGCTAATCACAATCCTCTAATTTAAAATCACCCATTCTTTAATTTCTTAAAAAGAAAGTGCATAAGTCCCTACAGTATAGGACAGAGGGAGTACATAAAAAAAGGGAAGTGCACAACTCCTGGACAGAAGGAGTACATCTACCACAGAGGGTGTCGCATGTTAGAGTGTGTTTGGTTTGGTGAATGATGTTGGATGGGAGATAGACCGTCTGATTTTTTTTTTGTTTTGTTTGGATAAAGAGCAGGGTGGATGGGGCAACCCAAAAAGAAAATATTCCCTTAATATCCTTAATATGCTGGATGAGTAGATCCAGCTAATTTGGCCAAATAAAGCCATCCATGTTTTAATTTGGGTGACTTGGCCTATTCCAATTGGATGTGGTTGGTTTAATTTTCTGTTAACAAGCTTAAAATGTTTTTTCCTCCTGAACTATTTATCTAATTTGTAATCCGATTATACTATTATACTAATTACAATTAAATCTCTAGTTATATTTTGATAAAAAAAATTAACAAATGTGCCATACTAAATTGTGGCTTATCCCATTCATGTTATATCTCTCTAAACAAATAAGAAATTGGAATCATCCTATCCATACAAACCAAATAAAAGTTAGATCATCGTATCCAACAGAGCATGGATGACCATATATTATCCATGTATGGCTTTGAAGCAAACGCACCCTATGTGATGGGATGTGATATAGCACGAAGAACATAGAACATTAAGATACTGAGTAAATATACCATGTTGAAATCAATTGCCAATTATACCCCTTAAAGAAAAGGCAAATAAACGAAAATTGACTAAGACATCTATATATATATATAAAGTTTTCGCAACTAATGTTGTCACGAAGAAACAAAGAAATACATAATTCTATATAGCTTATCCAGAGGGGGAAACCCTAAGATAAGTATAATAAAAGGGTGGTTCCAACCGTTCTGTTTCCTCTTCAAAGAATAGAAAAAAGAATCTTTTTTTTAACTAAATTTGACGCTGTTCTTAATTATGATGAAATCATTCTTAGCTTTTTCCGTGGATTATGGACAACTATATTAATTACAAAGTAATTACATCAAACCACCACAGAAAGAAAGAAAAAACTCAAAGAACTACAAATCATTCACACATCTATGTTTCTTATTTGTAATTGACCAGCCATACCAAAAAGGAAAAAAAAAAAACAAATTCGACACACTCTGCTCTGTAGAGTGTAGATTGACTGACTCATGCATCAAGCCATTAGCATCAATGCTGCTACGGCGGCGGCCGCGGCGGCGGTCACCCACCGGGCGAGCGGCGCCGGAGCGGCGGCGCCCTTGTGGGCTTTGACGTCGCCGGAATCGTCCGACGAGTCGTCGCTGCTGTCGTCGGCCGCCGACTTGTGCTTCTTGGACGGCTCGGGCGCGGGCGCGGGGGCCTCGACGACCTTGTAGAGCTCCTTGGGCTTGAGGAACTTGGTGACGGCGTAGACGGCGAGCGGCTCGGCGTCGCCGACGGTGGCGGTGACGGCGGAGTTGACGACCCTGGTGTCGAGCGTGACGGTCTCGCCCTTATTCTGGACGTCGTAGCTGTAGTCCTTCTTGGACTCGCTGGCGGTGGCGAGCGTGGTGACCATGCCATTGTTGGACTTGAGGAGCTGCAGCGAGAAGTAGTCCGGGACGGCGTGGTAGAGGAGGATGGCGGTCTTGGCCTTGGCGGTGAGGTTCTTGTAGGAGGGCATGAAGGCGGCGACGGCGGCGTCGACGGGGCAGAAGAGGGTGAGGCCGTTGTCCTTGGTCTCGTTGACGGCGCGGAAGACGTCGGCGTTGGCGGCGAGGAGGCCGGCGAAGGACTTGCAGTACTTCTTGGAGAGGAGCTCGGTGAGGTTCACCGGCGCCGGCGGCGGGACGGGCGCCTCGGCCTCGGAGGAGGACAGCACGGAGCTCACCTGGAGCACGGAGATGTCGTAGGGGATCTCCTTCACCGACTTCACGTACCTCGACGGCTTCGCGCTCTCGTCCGCGTCCTCCGAGATGAAGTCGATCTTCCCGCCCTTGTGCGACGTGATGTTCACGTACCCCGTCGTCCCCGGCGCCGACCCCGTCGCCTGCATGCAATTTTATTTTCATTCATTTCAATTAATTCATCATCGTGGTTATTATTTAATTAATCATCGTGATTATTATTTAATTGTATTACAAATGGACGGATCACGTGGAGCATGAAAATAACAAAATTTGTAAACACTGGCTGTAAACTTCATTAATTGGTTCAAAAGCACAAATTAAAGAGTAGTAGAAAATTGGATTAATTATCTTTGAACTTCATCAACACCGAAATCCGAAAGCAAATAATACTGAGGGCATGCATTTTTGTGTTCAGACTAAGATGGTATTCTTGTAATTGTGAAATATGATCTGTCCATATGACAAAATAGACGTTGAGTCTCCATTGACAAATAATATGATCTGTCCAGGATGGCTCAATTAATTAATGAGTATCATATTTTTTTTTCCAGAGAAGGATGGGGAACCTAATCGTGGATGATGGATCCTCTGTGATTTGTGTTCATGATGAGTGATGACTGATAAGTGCGTATGCAAGGGCCCACAAATCAATCATGCAATTAGGTATGGGAAAAATAGGGAGTGAGCTTGATAATGTTGAGAGCAACTGGATGCATGAAATTCCAATCCTAGCTAACCAACCAACTTTGTCGGTGGAATCGGTACCACGTGTTTTCTTAGTCATCTTGGGCCCACCACTGGGCTTAGCTGTTCTTCAGTGACCTGGCACCCAACGGCATGCATGTGTGGATTTTGGAATTTCTAGTTGTATATGCATCGCGCGCATGACAAAACTTTGTCAAAAAGTTTTATGGCAACTTGATGGTGCCATTCAAACAGCTCCATTAATTCCACTTAATTGAATTAAGAACATCCCTACTATAATTAATACGGTGAAATATATACTCCCCCAATTTCTTAATATACGAGGCAGTTGATTTTTTTAAGAGATGTTCTACCATTGGTCTTATCTCAAAAAAATTATGAAATCAAGAACATTCCTACCACTGCGACTTGATTTACCACCAAATGTTATTTAAGTGTGACTTATATTGTTTTATGTTTAAACAAAAATGTTAAAAAAACGAATGGCCAAATGTTTATCAAAAAGTTAAGGACATCATATATTAAAAAAAGGAGGTAGTATACGATGTAAACCGCCAACAATTTTTTTTACAAAAAATATTACAAAATGATTCTGAACCGGCATGCTTGCATTGCATAATGATGTAAACTTTCAAGATTACACTTCCAAACAAAATGAAAGCTGAGCTTAGTTACTTGAATAACCCATGAGTAATACTTTAAGTTAACTAGTGCATAAATCCACCTATTTTTTAGATGATGAGTGTCTAAACCCACACATATATATGATCTGAACTTACATTAATTAAATCTATAACAATATAGACTTGATTCACACGTATACTCCTCGTCTTGGATTTCGTGACCAAATTAAAAGGTCAATATCTGGCTAACCAGTTTTTGTAATCACGAAGCTATATTGACATGTGGGCTTAACTAAGTTTAAATGTACAATTAGCCCACTTGCATGGAGAAAAACCATATAAGTATAGTGAGCATGTAGTTGCACAACAATTAACTCTGCCATGTACTGTGTTATCTCTCAACTAAACGTTGAACCTCTCGATTAATTTAGCACCATGGCGAAAATTTCGGGTCCACTTGAATTTCTTTAAATTTATTCTAAACTTGTTGAAACTGGAGTATTTCAAATTAATTGATTTTTTTTAAAAAATAAAATCTTAATCAGAAATACTTTGTTCAAGATGGCAATAAGATCTCGCTTAACATTTTCCCCCAATGACAAGAGAAATTAAAGAACCCTGTCTATGAAAATAACAGCACCGACCCTATCAGAAGGTGGATTTATAATACAGTACAGTAGTAACCAAGAAAATAAATAATTAGCTGTATGTACGTGATCAGCTAGCTTGCATGTTCGATAACACGTGGGTACTGTGGTAGTACTAGTACGTACCTAGCTATAATTAATTAATCAAACAATTAAAAAACTAATAATGATAGCTAGGTAATTATACTCTCGTTAATTATGTAAAAATACATGTGATTAA